CGGGGCCGCTTAGTTTAGTTTTGACTTCCAGGCTGCCCCCACTGGTTTCCTGTCCCTTGCTGCTGGAGCAAGCTGCAGACGGTGAGGTCTCAAAGGGAGACAGCCCCTCGCCTTCAGCAGGCTTTGATTTTTGGCTCTGGAGTTGTCTGCTGGAGACCTCCATGCCCTGAGAGCCCAGCAAGTGGGGCTCCTCGTTGCAAGTGCCGGGGAGGTTTCTGTGCTCAGCTTGGCATCCCGGGGAGGTTTCTGCTCCAGCATACACGTCTGAACCAGCTGAACCCACCTTCTTGGACGTTTGTAAGGCAGCAGTGCATCTCCTTTAGCCATTTGTTTCTGTTCCAGTGCTGGAGGTGCTCCCCAGCCCTGCCGTGGCACTTGAACACTTCCTAACCAGCCACAGGCAAAGCTCAGGGGGCAATTGCCCTTCATCCACCCACCCAAGGGGGTCAGTATGGGCTCCCAACCATCCTTAGGAGGGACCCTGGAGGGGTCCCAGCCCCTTGCAGAGGGAGCCAATGATGCTCATTTTTCCTTAACTTCATGGACAAGCACAGCTCCAGGGGCTTTTAAACAAGAAGGGGAGGAGACCAGAAGCGTTCAGCAGAGCCATGGCCACTGGGGCACTGCCCCACATCAAACTCCTTGTGCAGGTGACTGAGCAGTGCCACAAAAATCCTTGGTAAGAAGCATAGCACCTATGGAGGGGCCTGGGTTTAGAGTATTGGCGAATTGCTTGAAGCCTTCATTTTTCCACCTTATTTCTAAAATCTTCCCAGGTTTTGTCCCTAAGCCCGGCTGGCTTGGAGAAGGCAGAGCAAAGTTGGGGCTGGGCCATGCTGGGGCATCCTGGTGGATCCCAAGGAGGAGGTTTGCGTTGAAGCCCTGAGAAACCAGCTCCTGAGAGCCATAGTGGGACCTTTCAGGAGGGGGTGCTTCCCACCCACTGGGGCAGAGACACTGGGAAGGGGCGCAGGGGGCAAGTGCCAAATGTTCTTTGGGGGTTGGCTCCAGCCAAAGCCCTCCAGTGGCACCATGTGGATGTGGAGCAGACATCAGGCTGTGCTGAGGTGTTCCCAGGGCATTGGGTGCATCCTGTCAGACGTTTGTCCCAAGGTAACTGGGTCTGCTTGATAAACACCTCGCGGCTTCTCTGATCGACAAGCCTTTGGGTTTCCGGTGCACACGAGCACAAGGTGAACTTTCGGTGGATATTTTCTGCTACGGGTGGTTCTGCAAGCGCGTGCGTGAGTCACTTCACCCACCCCTGACACCAGAGGAACCGCTCACACGAGTCCGGTTACTCATGTGTGCATGATGACCACTCGCAGGACGATGTCGTCCCTCCCCACGCCTGGGACCACCAGCGCTGCCCTGTCCCTCACTAGGCTCTCCACAGGGATCCCAGCAGCCCACCCCAGCCGAAGCTGGCCCTCCCAGTGCGCGGCTGGAGCAAATAGCACTGGAAATCGAGCTCTCTGACTCCAGGATTAAGATATAATTTTTAAATAGCTCATTTGATATCTTTGCTGGTTTATTTGTTTAATAAAAGCACTTACTTAGCCGGAGTCCCAGGCTCCTGGGGCTTTCATTTCTCTGCAGAGGAGATAAGAAAAGTGCATTTCCTTATCCAATGAGTCATTTTTTCTGCTCTTTAATTATGCATTTGTGCTATTATCAAGCGTATTCAACTCTTAGATGCAAACAGTTCAAACTACTCACCAAGCTTTAGCTTTTGCTGCTCCAAAAAGGGTGACCAGCCGTTACGAAGGGCAGGAGAGGCAAAGATGGGGATGATGAAGAGTGGGGGACGGCTGATGCCCAGAGCTGACTGGGCAGCCTGGGCAGTGCTGGTGAGCAGGCACACGTGCAAGTGCCGCTGGGGAAGTCAGCGGGGATTTTCTCCATGAGTAAGCGTCATCGTGTGTGAATTCAAACGTTGTTTTCTTGGACCAGGAGGAAGGAGACGGGCTAGGAAGGGAGCGTGAAAGAGCTGAAGAAGGGGATAAAAAGGGCTTAGAAAATTAGAGGGAATAGGGTACGATCAGTCGCGACGATGAGGCTGCAACATCCTTCTACGCAACAGGACCCGGGAACACTTTATTTGCAGGAGGACATCACAGCTGCTGTCCTCGGGCTCACCACCGTGCGTTCACAGCTTCAGGTTTTCACTCCAGGTACCGAAACGGGAGCCATCAGCTCCTGAGCTCTATGGTAAACCTTGCTCTCTGTGTCGAAAGCAACATGTAGGTACCTCAGTTTGGGCTTTCCCTGGTGCGTATATTTGACTGGAGGGGTCACAGAGTTAATCTGTAAGTGTGGTACAGCAGATGCTAGGACCCATTTCCCCCCTAAATTAAGCCAAGCAGGGAGGGGAGGAGGGGGGAGAGGGGCAAGGTGACAGTGCTATGGTGGGACCTATGGGAATAGGGGCTGGGGGTTGCTGAGAGAGAACGGACACAAAGAAAGCACGAGGTGGGGGAGATGATGGAACAGCATCCTTTGGGAAAAGGAGACCAGCAGGTGGAAACACCCCAGGGCAGGAGGAGCAGAAAAGCCTTTGGAGCAGCGAGCTGTTTCAGAGACAGGTGTCCTGAAAGAGCACTGGCTCTTTTGTGGAGGTCCTCTGCCTCCATCCATGGCACCAGCCCACAAGGCAAGACGTTGGCTGCTCCCTAGTCCCTACCCTTACATTTCTGCGAGCTGCCTGCCAGGGACAGAGAGCACTCTAAGTGCCCTCTGGTCCCAGGGGCTCTCCACTGTGGAGTTCAGATGGTGGCCTGAAGTGAGCCTGAACTTTTCTCCTGACCCCTCAGCCCTCCCTGCTGTGGCTTTCTGACCCCCCTGAGTTGTTCCCAGAGCACCCTGCTGCTGGATGCACACCCCAGGAGCAGGACCAGAGCACCCTGCTGCTGGATGCACACCCCTCCTGCTCCTGGGCTTGCACCACAGCTTTGCTCCTCACCTGGGGCGTCCGAGAAGCAGGGTGAGGTGGGATGTGGAGGGATGTCCTCCCATGGCAGCTACCTGCGCAGGGGTGAGCACAGCCCGTTCTGCACAAGCATGGAGGCGGAGGGTGCCCAGCTGGCCGTGCCGCTCATGGCTTTGGAGCTCGGGGCCATGCCGAGAGAGGGAAGTGCTTGGCGTGTCCCCACTCACTTGGGGTTTTTTACTTTGACTAAGAGCAGAGGGGGAATAACTGAGTCACGGGTGCAGGAATGGCGGCCAGGCTCTCGCAGCTCCTCCTCGGAGCCCGCAGCCCCCTGGCCATCCCCGCCGGCACAGTGAGGGTGCTCCCGGCCGCCAGGAACCGGTGCGAGGGTCGAGGGAGCGAGTGGCTGGGCACGCCGGCTGGAAAGGGAAGTGAAATCGCAGCAGGCGTGGAACCGGCAGGCAGCAACCGGTTTTGGTCGGGACTTTCACTCACCCGGAGCCCAGCGGCGCCCAGTGGGGAGGGCTGAGATGGTGCTGGGGCTGCTTCTGCAGGTGCAAGCCACCCTCCGGGAATGCTGCTGACAGGGATGGCCCCACCAGAGGGCATCTCCTGCCTGGGGTGATGGAAAGCCATGCTTGGGCTGCAACCCAGCGTGGGGACCTCGTGCCTGCATCCCATCTGAGGCTTCAGGGCAGGTGATGTGGATGCTGTGGGCTCAGCTTGCCTAAAAGCCATTGGAGAGGGGCAAGCACATCCAGGGACCAAGTCCTCTGGCCTGTCTCAGAGGAGTTGCCCAGTGAGGACACCTGGTACTCTGTCACCTCGAGCCAAAGCGTCCTTTGGCTTTTCTCCTCCTCCCCTCCCAGCCTCAGTCCAGCACACCAAGTGGCAGAGATCTCGCTAGAAAGAGCCTGGAGGCCATAGTTGCTGCAAACATGAGACTGCAGCACTAAAGCCCCCTTAGGGCTCTCCTGGCCAGGGCAGATCTCCTGCGCTGCTTCCTTCAGGTGGGAGAAAGCCAGCAACTGTGGCTGGTCCCTTTCTTTTCTGTGGGATGAAGGAAAGGGGGGGTGGGACTTTGTTTGGTAAGGACAGAGAAGAGCCTAGTGCAGCACTGAAATCAATCACTTACCCACTTCAGATCTCAAGCATCGGGCTTTGACGTATGGTGGCAGAAGGTTTCTCCCGCCCGTGATCAGGAACAGCTAAAACCATTAAGAGTTTATTTAGTCCCAAGCGTATGGGGACTGGACTTACTTGATGTGACCTGCTTTGCCCATGCCCTGGGCAGTTACTGAGCAGAGACAGATCTGAACCCTGGAGAATGAGTCATGGTGCCGAGGGGCTGGGAGGGTCCTTGCCACGGGTCTAGATCTGCGATGGAGAGGACGGAGAGAGCAAGGTGATGGAGAGCATCATCATTAGTAGGGATGGAGGACACACACCAGTTGGCCTGCCTGCACAGCAGTTACTAACAGGCTGTGTCCTGGGGGCAGTGGGAGCTTTTAAAAGGGGAAACCTCAGTGCCCTTGCATGCTTTTCTCCTCTGGCCCTTTTCTGCATTTTCCATCCAAGCCAGATCTGTGGCCCTGGGACAGGATCTTGTGAAGATCTGGGCAGAGGAAAGTATCCCGTAGGCACTGGAGGATGCCGAGGGAGCTTTTCACCGGCCAGCAAGGGAGGGTGCAGGCTGGGGGACATGCCTGGGCTGGAGGTGACATATGGATGGGCTGGGAAAGGGTGAGGGCCGAGGAGGTGACACTGTCGGGCTGGGGCAAGGTGTCGCTGGGCGCAGGGTGCTGCATGGCTGGGGACACTTCGGGGTCTGTGGAGATTTCGGAAGCATATTTTGGAGGAAAAGGGTAGTTTGAGGGCACATTGCATGGGCAGGCAGGGGTAGGGCTTGGGCGCTTGCTCTCCTCCTCCCTGGTGAAGATCCGCCCCGGGGCAAGCGCAGCGATCGCGAGCCCCAAGGGAGACGACGCAGCTTGACAGACTGTATCTCCCTCTGCCACGGGCCCCGAGGCGCTGCGATTTCACACTCGGGCGGCCCCTTCGCTGCTGCGCCATGCGGGAGCCAGGCTCTCACTCCCACCCTGCCATGTCCTCATCAGGAAAAGCTGCTGCTCCCGCCTCCTGCCTCTCCTCCCAGTGCTTCGACCTCCTGACCAGGTCCTGCGTCCAGTGCTCCGACTTGTTCAAGGAGAATGCAAGTAAGAGGACAACGGTGGCCCTGGACCAAGCTCCCCGGGGCTGGGCGGTGGTGGGCCAAGGGGGTTGGGGGCACACTGAGGGTGGGCAGATGGAGGGGACCTTCTCCTGCAGATGGTGATGGAGGTGGCGATGGAGAATGGAGCACTGCTTACACCTGGAGGAGGAGGAGAGAGGAAGAGGGCAGCCAGTTTTAGTGAGGGGAATGCGGTGCGGGATGAAAAGGGATGATCCAGCTGGAGTAGGGCATCACAGGTGACCATGAGAAGACCATGAACCTGTGGGGGACCATGAGAAGAGCAGGACGCCCTCATCTCCCCCCAGCCAGGAACAGCAGTGGGTGGGACGAGGCTCCAGGCATGGGGATGGTTCATTGTGGGTGGTGGGTGGATACTGACGAAGAACCACTCTCCCTCCACACCATTGCAGCTGGCTGGGAAATGCTGCTGCCCTTCTTCTTTCGCCCCAGTTCTCCCTCTCCTGACGCTACCCGTGTTTCACTTCACAGCAGAGCCTGCCCGCATGGCGCCCACCTCTGCCCTGGCGCCCACCCTCCCATCAGCGGACATGCCCAGCACTCTCCTGATCTTCGGGGTTCCAGCGGTGGTGGGGCTCATCCTGGCCCTGGCTGCCCTCTGGGGCTTCCTGGCCTGCAAGGTGGGCAAGCAGAGGAGGACAAGGAAGGCAGCGGACGAGGAGGCCGAAGGTAGGGGACCTCTTGCTCTCCCGGTCACAGCGTCCTATGGCTCCCAGGGCAGGTGGGATTGCTTGTTCCCAGCTCCCCCAAGGCATGTCCTTGTTGAGACCCACTCCTCCACCTCGACATGGGTTCCACAGGCATGCCAGGGCATTTTTGAGGAAGCTGAGCTGCCCCCTGCATGACATGTCCTGTGTCCCCTGGGAACCCACACCTACACCTGGCTCCCAGCAGGACCCTCTCCTTTGTGCCCCTCCCTTTGCCAGGTGTCCCCATGCCTTCACTTGCTTAAAGCACCCGCTGGTACCATCCCCTCTCCACGGGGAACACGTACAGACCACCAGCAAGTTGCCTGTAGCCGGAGGGCCACGGATGGAGATGGGGCTACAGGGATGGCAGTGCACAAATGGCAGTCCCTTGTTGACTGCCAAGCCTGGTATTGCCATTTGGGATAGCCAGTGCCCTCCAATGTGTGCCCCAAAGACCCCAATGGTGTTGGGGCCAGCCCTGTTGGCAGGATGATGGACCACCACACGGGGTCATCCCCAAAGACATCAAAAATAGGGCCAAGGGGAAAGGGACAGAGCTGATTTCCTGGTGGGGTATTTCCAGGGGGGATGAGGCCATGGTGCCCTGTGATGACCCATCCTGCTAGAGCATCAGCCAGGGGCCAGGTGGCCGCTTCCTCCCTTGGGGACCCTTGCCCTGGTGCTGACTCAACCCTGGCCACTCTTCTCAGAAATGGTCTTGCCTGGATTCACCCTTCCCCATCCCCAGGCAGGGGGTACAGCTCCCCAGGAGATGCTGGCATCTGCCACCACCCCATGGCCCGGATGGGTGACCTTGAAGGGCGATGGGGCTGGGGGTAGCCGGTCCTCGCACCCTGACTTGCCCACATGCTGCTGGTGGTGCCGGCCGGGTGATTCAGACCTGAGGGGGACATTACCCGGGGCCTTTCAGCTAAACTGAGTGCGTCTGTGAAAGCCCGTGACGCACATGCCTGGGAAAAACACCAAGAACGAAAGAGAAGGGAGAAATCCCGTGGCGAGAGAGGTCCGGCCATGACAGAGAGCCTGGGAGGCACCCTCTCGGCTGCTCCCCTTCCGCACGCCCTGGTCCCTGTCCCCCAGGGCTGCACCCTGGCCAGCCCACCGCTGTGGGGCTGGATGTGTGGAAAGTCGCAGGAGGCTTGGGGCCGGCGGCGCGTGCCCGTGTTCGAAGCGTGTAAACAAGTCTATTTTTAAGTGGGAGGCGGCTGGGGAGGGCAAAGCCGCCGAGGGCCGGGCTGCTCTGCCTCTGGCAGGGTTTAGCGAGAGGGCTCAAAGCACAAGTGCAAGTTTCTGCCTTTCCCTGTTGTGTTTAAAGGGGGAAAATAGCCCCATCAGTTGTAAGCAGGAGGAGATCTGCCGCAGGAGAGGTGTGGTGGGGACCTTGCAGGCTCCTCCTGCTTTAGCTCCATCTTCTCCCCGCCCCCTGTGTCCCCAGAGATGGGATCCTCTCCCTGGGACCCGGCTGGCCCTGCTTTGTAAGCCCCATAACCCCCTTCTATTGCCCCCTCCCAGCAAACATGGATGCTGCCAGCCCCCTGCCCGGCCCGGGCTGCCAGGACCCTGCCGTGCCAGAGGAAGATGCCATCCTGACTCCAGCCCCATGCCCCCATTATAATGGAGGCCTGAAGATGGCGGGGCCGCCTGGGAAAGCTGGGACAAAGCGGAGGCCATGTTGCCAGGGTGATGCCGACGGTGATATTGTCCTGCTCTCTGCTGTGTACCCCCGGCACGAGGAGTGCAACCACAGCTTCCCACTGCCTGCCACCGAGCTGGGGGCCACAGCCCTGGTCACCACCAAAACCACCCAGAACTGCTCCAGCGAGGAGAGAGCCTGAGGGCGGGGGGGCACGGGGCTGGAGCGCTCTGGCTGCTCCCTGCAGATGCCCAGAGCCCATCCTGAGGCCAGGAAAAGCCCTGCATGGACATGAGCTGGCTGAGGACTGTGTTTTGCCTCGAACAAGATCAGCCTTCTAGGATCACTGCCCTTTTCCACCTTCCCACTTGCTCTGAGTCCCAAGCTGAGCCTGTAAGTGCCGGAGGAAGCCAAAGCGGATCACACTGAGTGATGCCAAACTGCCGACAGCTGCTGCAGCCGTGCCATCGGGAGGAGGCAGAGGAGATGTGGCTGGTGAGGACTGAGCATGGCAGGGGCTGCTGTGCCATTTGCCAGGCTGCAGTTGTGCTAGGATGGGTCTGCTGCTGGATGGGCGATTCCTGGGTGCATGGGGCTGGAATAAGCAGAAAGAGAGGGGGACAAGGAAGATGGAGAAGGAAGCAGGGAGTTATAATAGGATCAAGTCCCACACTGCTGCTATTAGCTCAATTTTTGCTACTGACCTCAATAAAAGGAGGCTCGGGGCCATATGGAGCAAGGCGCATCCAGCATCTGCTCCATTTGTGGTCCTGCCCCCTCCTCTTCTCCACGACGTAATGCCCAGGTCTCTCCTCCCTCTGGGTGCTCTCACGCGGTGGCGGGCATCCACCGGCAGTTGTGGGAACCCCCTCCGCAGCCAGGTACCCAGGGGACAGGAAACGAGTCCGTCTTCCCAAGCAGGGATCAAGGGACGAAAAAAATATCTGTCTTTGCTCTGACCTACAATCACTGAAGTCAGGGAGGACCAGGGGCGGGCGACGGAGACTGCTGGTCTAGAGATGCTCCACGAGCTTGTCACTGCAGCCCCAGACAACCGTCACTTCAGCTCACAGTGGCTGCAGAAATACCGCTTGTCACTTGGGATGACAGGGCTCCCGGTGATGGATGTTTCCACGCCATGCAAGACCAGGCAGGGAGGGATGCAAGCGTAGGCGGGATGACTTAATTTATGTGAGTGTCTTCAAGGCTTTGCCTGCGTACCAGAGCTGGCCAGCGGTGCTGGTCCAAGGCATTTCTCTCTAGATGGTCTTGCTCACCCGCCTGCAAGTGGCTTTACTGTGCAGGAAGGGCTCTGCTTTGGAAACAAACTCGTTAGTGTGGGATTGCTGTTCCTGAGTAATTACAGCAGCTGATTCCCCCTGGCTGAACAGAGCCTGGTCAATGGCTTGGGTGAGAAACACAGCTGACCCCAGATGGGGTGATTAGGCAATTAAATGTGCCTTGAGGGGGGTTATTTGCATCAAGTGCCATCTTAGTGGCAGCATGGGTGATCTCTTTCTTCGGTGAGGTGGCCTCCTCACCCGGGAGGCTTTGGGACTGATCAGAGGTGGCCAAGCAAAGTGTGGGAACACTGCCGCCAAGCGCCAATGGGCCACCAAGGGCCACAGCTCATGGTAGAGTCACCCAGTGGCACTGTGCGGAGGGCATGTCCCTCTGATGAGAGGAAGGTGACCCTCCACCCAAGCCTGAGCTCTCTTCTGGAGCTGCAGGACCAGATGCTGCTGTTAAAGGGTGACCCTCCCTCTTCGCCCCTGCTGTGGCTCTGGAGCCGGACTCAGGGCATTCGTCCCATAAGGGGAACCACAAGAGCTGCCACAGGTGTCAAGGCCCAAATTCCTCACCACAACTCCTCTCCCAGACCTATACTCGCTGCTGGAGATGAGCCTTCATCCAGCTGAGGTTTTGCATGACCCAGGATGGGATAGGCCCCTGTCTCAGCCTTGGAGCTGGGGTTGGCAGAGGGACTGGTCCACGTGCCCAGTGACTGTCCCTTGGGGCTCCAGGCACCTGTGGGTCACCAGAAGGAACTGTGGAGGCTCCAGCACTGAGCTTCTAGTTATCCGCAGCAGCTGTGTTGCCCATCACAAGAGGAGCATCCCTGCAACACGAATCAGGCATCTACTCATCCCCATGCTCTGCACCCAGCCCTGCGAAATGACTTTGAGCAACCTTTGTGCATCTGGAGTGGGGAAAAGAGCTGAAGCCAGGCTGAGGGTTGTTTTGGCAGTGGAAGAAGGACTGCTCGTGGGAGGTAGATCAACCTGCTTCACAGGAGACAGGGGTGAGCAGGAAAGGGAGCAGGACTGTTGGGTTCCTCTCCTGACTCTTGCCCGGTAACTGCCGTGGCTCAGCCCTGTGGATGCGCTGCCCACCCTGACCAGCTTGGCAATTTGAAAAAGAAACTCCCATACAAATCCTGTTGGAAAAAAACCCTCTGTCTGCTCAGGTAAGAGCTTCTGTTCTCATTTCTGCTAGAGCTTCAGCCAGGCGTCTCCTCTCCAGGATGCTGCCGGCATCTGCAGTTCGCAGAAGCGGCATTTCGATCCACATTGGATTCCTCAGCTGTCGAGTGCCCCTCGGATACCGTCTCTGTTATGGCATATGGGGCATCTTCCCCACGTCCTGCCTGCCCGACTGCCGGCGTGGTGGGGCAGAGCTCCCCCCTGCCCAGCCTGCCAGCCTGGGCCCGGGGGAGGTTTGCAACCCTCTCTGTGCGTGCTTCTCTGTCCTTATTACAGGGCAGGGGGCTGTCTGTCTTGTCTGCTTGAAGAGCAGGGGGAATGGAGATGGAAAATATGGTTGGAAAAATTAAAGAATAAAGTGGACTCATTGCCAGTGCATGCTCAGAGGTATGTGTGGGGAGATGCCTTCTCAGTCCCCATTCCCCTGGCCTCAGGGGTCTTCTCCACAGTGCTCCCAGGGGGTACAAAAGGGCCTGGAGCTGGAGAGGCTTCTTCTGTGCCGGCTTCACCTGCGCATAACCCCCTGCTTGGCCAGGGTCCACCTGAGGCCGGCTAGTTCCATCCCCTGCCGTGGCCTCCTCGGGAGCTGGCTGATAGGATGGGGAGCGGGGTGAGTGGTTTTGGTGTCGGGGGGTGTTGCCCATCTTTGAATTTCCACAGCAGTTTCTCACTTCCCCCTGCGAGGCAGGAACTGTGCTTCCTCCCCAGCCCAGTGGCCCCCCTCCTGCTGCCCGCACAACTGCCTAGAAGGACTGGAAAGGCCAGGCTTCACCTGGCCACAGGGGTGCGGGTTTTCAGAGAGAGTCAGGGGAAAGTCTGAGGAAACCCCAGGGCAAGAGGAAAAAGCCGGGGCTAAAACCCTTCTTGCTGCAAAAACACTTCAGGCGTGTCCTCAGTGATTTCAACCACACCACCCCTGCTATGATGGAGGTCACGGGAGTAATTGAGCTCCTGCAAGTCCCACCAATGATGCTGGTGGTAAAGGACAGAAGCCTTGGTGTCCCTAGGGATGGGTCTGGTTTTCATCCCTGATCCTAAAGGCAGGAGCCAGCTGGCAAACAGAGCATGGTGGCACAGGGATGGGAGGCAACAGGGGAACCCTGGCCAAGGGTCGTCTTCTGCAGCCGCCGATTACGTCCACCAAACCCTCCTCAATCCCGCAGGCTCCCAAAGTACTTGGCTTTCCTCCACCAGCCTCCCCCCACCAGCTCCTTCTTTCTCATTCACTTTCTCCTCTCTCCTCCTGTTGCTGGTTCACCCACTGGTGTAGTGACTTAGACCCACTAAGCCTCCTGATAGTTCACTCACAGACACAGCTATTCCAGCCCAAAGCACCCCACACAGACCCGGCTCGCGCCTCCATGGGCTTTCTGTGGATGCTGGACCTTGACAGCAGGCAAGGTAAAGTGGGCACCATTTTATCCCATGCATGAAGTAATACTCTGATGGTCAACGTCCAACAGGGACTGCCTGTCTCCGGGTACAGCCTCCAATCCCCCCACTTGCTGCAAGAAGATTGGGGCTGTGTGGCCACCCCATCACCCACTCATGGGGCATGGACCCCATCCTGTCCCACGGGACCCTTCCCCACCACCCGCTTCCCAGTGCCAGCCATGGCAGAGGGACGCGTGGGGTGCCCTTACAATCCCTGGAGGACACTCGTGGGAGGCCGTGGGTGACAATGAGAGGCCAGCAGGCCTGGGGTGCCTGCCACGAGGTGGCACTGACACTGCACACCGGCCTGCATGGCTGCAGCGCTGCAGGGGAGCTGCATGGGAGGGTGAGTGCCCAAATGCAGCAAGGGGAACCGGGGAGGGCCAGGCAGGCTGGTGGCCAGCCCTGCTTTGGTCAGACAGAAGTGTGTCATCTGGACCTGACTCCATCCAGCCACGCAGCCCATCACCATGGCCTCTAGGCAGCCCGGGAGAAATGGCTACTGGTGGATCTGGCTGCAGATCCCATCACCACGGCCTCTGGGCTGCTCAGCAAAGACGTCATTGCTGGCCAGATACCTGTGGGCAGAGCAGGCACAGAGGGAGTGGTGGGGCAACCAGAGGCAGAGCGGGATGCAGGGAGCTGCTTCTCCTTCCCCCAGCAGCACCAAACACCTCTACCACCACCCTGCTCCCCCAAGGAGCCCATCCCCAGTGGTGTCAGGTCCACCCAGGGAATCCCTGTCGGCCGGTGCCTCCCATCCCCATCTCCTTCCTGTCAGCCTCTACCCCAAAAAAGCCCCTGTTGTGCTACCCACCAAGGTCCTCAGCTGGAAAAGGCTCTGGGCCGGGGAGAAGAGGCCGCCTGGTCCCCTGCACCAGGCTGTCGGGGGACCACAGCCTTCCTGATGCCACTCATCAGCATCCCTCCCTAATCACTACCCACTGCCTAATGACAGTAATTAGGAAGAGCGAGGCTGCCTGGGGACTGGAAGCGCTGACAGAGTTGGGGGAGCCAGATGGTGTTCTACTCTGATGGTCAACGTCCAACAGGGACTGCCTGTCTCCGGGTACAGCCTCCAATCCCCCCACTTGCTGCAAGAAGATTGGGGCTGTGTGGCCACCCCATCACCCACTCATGGGGCATGGACCCCATCCTGTCCCACGGGACCCTTCCCCACCACCCGCTTCCCAGTGCCAGCCATGGCAGAGGGACGCGTGGGGTGCCCTTACAATCCCTGGAGGACACTCGTGGGAGGCCGTGGGTGACAATGAGAGGCCAGCAGGCCTGGGGTGCCTGCCACGAGGTGGCACTGACACTGCACACCGGCCTGCATGGCTGCAGCGCTGCAGGGGAGCTGCATGGGAGGGTGAGTGCCCAAATGCAGCAAGGGGAACCGGGGAGGGCCAGGCAGGCTGGTGGCCAGCCCTGCTTTGGTCAGACAGAAGTGTGTCATCTGGACCTGACTCCATCCAGCCACGCAGCCCATCACCATGGCCTCTAGGCAGCCCGGGAGAAATGGCTACTGGTGGATCTGGCTGCAGATCCCATCACCACGGCCTCTGGGCTGCTCAGCAAAGACGTCATTGCTGGCCAGATACCTGTGGGCAGAGCAGGCACAGAGGGAGTGGTGGGGCAACCAGAGGCAGAGCGG